CTTCAGATATTAAGTCAGCTAGAAGTATAAGGGAATTTAAAAGAAAGCTTTCTTCTGTTGGACTCTCATAAACTTTTTTAGCTGTCTAAATTGTATTCTTATTTAACTCGACATTCTTGTAAAGCAATTTTTATATTGATAGAATTTTTTTTCGAGTATAAATAAAGTATCACTCACTCACTCACTCTCTTTCTTTCTTTCTTTCTCTCTTTCTTTCTTTCTTTCTCTCTTTCTTTCTTTCTTTCTCTCTTTCTTTCTTTCATTCCTTTTTTCCCCCTTCTCTTTCTGTCTCGTCAATTAGTTACTTTATATGTAGTAATAACTGTTATTTATCCTCAGAGTAAGCAGGATGTGAAAAATTGGGTTGATTGTTTGAAGCAAACTAAAGAATTCTGGGAAAACTGGGAGCAAAACGAACAGTTTGAAATTGTAAATAAAGACGAATGCAATGTTAATGGTATAGAGGTAAGATAACATCCTTCAAAAATTCATGTAAATGGCTTATTGCTATTTCAGTAGTTTTCAAGTGAAATGGAARTCTTCATGTCTCACAAACATTGACAATAAAAAAAGGACCGTAGGGCCCCCTGCATGGTCCCTGTCAAAATTCTTTCTTCTAAGGCTACATTAATTTTCATTTCAGACTAATCAAGAGTCATGTGTGAAAGTTCCTAATGAAGAAAAAGAGTAAGAAACATGTTTTTTTTTTCAGTCCTATTCTTGTCCATACACCTATTTTTCCACACCTGTGCAGGGCTGGCTCAGTTGGTTGGGCACGTACCGGTTGTGCAGCAGGTCATGGTGAATCAAGCCTCAGCCAGAAAAATTACTCAGGGTCTTAAAATCTCTGAGTCAAAGGTGCTGGTTAGAACTCTAACAGATTTCTTCTTTTAATTCACAGTCCTGACTTAATCAAAATATCGATCATTATGTCTCATGGCCAGCCTTTCACAGCATATCTACCACCGGACGGCAACCTTGATGATCTCTGGACAGCTGTACTTAAATCGCTGCCTGGTCATTTTTGTTTTAAGTGTAATATTTGTCAGTTACGTGGTAGAACAATGGAGCTGTGGTCTGTTACAAATGATGGTGCGGGTGAGTAATCATCGCCCACAGTTAAAGGGGCACTTGGATGAAAATCAATGAAAATTAGAAATGGCTTTAAACTTGGTTAAACTTATCTATATGGCCCAGATAGTAGCCAAGCAACATGTTTCCTTCACAGTCAAAAGTGACGGGGGAAAATTTTCACTTTTATTCAGCATCTAAATTGTGAGTAAATGACGTCATTTACTCAACCCTATTGTTTTTTTCACTTTTGACCCAAAATATCTCAACAGCAAGTGGCTCTCAGGCTAAAGTTTTCACTAATCAGATTTCCATAATATAATTGAGTCATGTTATCCTCAAATGCTTCAATTATTTGGACTTACAAAAATTGGGACGTCTTCATCCAAGTGCCCCTTTAATTTGCTATATCTTAGGCCTAGGGCAAACATCAAACTTTCCATGCACCGAACTTAATTACATCAAAGAATGCCGCCTCATTATCACMTGATATCCATTGTTTTTAATGAGTTCGGTGCATGGAAAGTTTGATGTTTGCCCTAGGCCTTAGACTTTATTATTGTTGTCACATTGTAAATTTTTGCTACACTCTACACTGATTCTGTAACTTTTTCCCAGTTTCATAGGTTGTCTATATTAATGGACCATTTTCGAATAAGTCAAATACTGAGCTGTGTTTCTTGATTACAGACTCATTTACTCAGGGTTAGCCTCGTATCAGTGTCTAAATATTCACAAATACCAACGGTAAAGTAAAGAATGCATAACTTCAACAATGCAAATAATTTTGAAAATCGAACGTACCTTCACTGGAACACATGAATATTCTACGCAATGTCGAGGTTAATCCTGAGCAACAGAGAACTCAGAACTGGAGTATTAGCAGTTATGGTTATAATAAGCAGGGTGTAAATAAATTGGGGGGGGCTCAATTTAGGATTGGAGAATTTTTTTTGAATGWCCAGTGTATTAATCAAGACAGATAAGCATCACTCTCGGCAACCAGAGTTCTGTCATCCTTACTGCRCATGCTTGGCGAAATGCCTTAGTCCCAGCCATTTTATCAACTTTCAAGGCAATAGATATTATTCTTTATTGCAAGGGAGATGAGGCGGTAAGCCGTGTGGGATGGGCTCGGAAATCATATAAGAACATGCGTAATAGGTAAATAACGAGCCTTGTATGAAACRACTGAAGAAAAGGACCCATGTGGGCCTTTCACAACTTCAATTCGCGTAAAAAATGAGACAGCTCAACTAGAAACCGTGGACAGTTGTTTCGGCCTGTATTGCAAGGGCTCGACTTGTTATTGCTGTACTGTTTTCAATTAATTATAACGAGAAATATTCAAATTGATCACAGCTCTTGAAAGTCTAGGTCTTTACCCGAGACTCTTGTTAAGCATAACATGTGCAGTAAATAAGACTGACAGGACTCTTGGGTCGAGAGTGGATCATATGACTGACTTAGGCATTACTAATGTAAGAAKGATTTATTTTGTGTTCTATATCTCTACAGCTTACAAAATTGAAAAACATTTTAATGCGTCTGAATACTGTACGACAGCGTCAAACCCTATCTATTTATTGGAACATAATTTTAAGGTAAAGTAATTTTATTTAAGGGTTAGAGTAGCACTTCCATATTTTTGCTGACAAAGTGATAATACCCTGAGTATTATAACAATACAGGGTAATAAAAGTTCAAATTTTGAAAACAGTAGTATTTGTCTAAGTAGATTTAATATTGAGTAGATCAATTAGTAGATTTGCCCATGCAGAAAAATGCAGATTTCCTAAAAAATGTCTTGCATCTGAAAGCTACTTGTGACTGGAGCTTAACAATAAAAATGCTTGTAGAGGTGATGACGATGGTGATGGTGATGATAATAATTGATGATGATGATGGTGGTGGTGGTGGTGGTGATGATGATGATGATAATAATTGGTGATGGTGGTGGTGGTGGTGGTGGTGGTGGTGGTGGTGGTGATGATGGTGGTGGTGATGATGGTGGTGATGATGATGATGGATGATGATGATAGAGGATGATGATGATGTTATATTGATGATGATGCTACTGTTGAAGATAATGATAATGATAGTGCTGATTACGATGATGGTGATGATCATAAAGATAAAAATGATGATGATGGTAATGATGTTGATGCAAACAAATATTCCATTTTTCTATCAGCTTCTGGTTGTCTTCTTTGAAGATTCTTCGTTTCTCGTCTCACCTGCTGATATTTCTACTAAAGCAAGAGATGTGAGTTGTTAAATCAATATATTTTTAATCAAATCTTGGTTTTCAAGAGGGAAACCAYATAGTAAAAGAGCCGGTAGTTCATCATCCTCAATTAAGGAAATTGCTGGTTGCAAGCATTCCCAAGAGAGTTAAAAGACAAAAACATGGTGGCCATTGTGGTACCGTTAACAATGGATGCTAATGAGAAATCTTTTGTTAAATGGCACCAACATGGCCGCGATGMCGTAACGTGCAATCGAAGAATTGCTTTGAGAAATGATTTAACCAAAAAAAGGTTTGTTGAATTACGGCACTTGGCGCAACTTTTTTGCGCGATGCGACACTCCTGCAGTAAAATAGAGTCTTCCTTATGTCACGTTTATGGCAGAGACTTGATGTTCTTATCCATGAATGCGACTTTTCCATGTAAAGCTAGCGAGGTTTTTGGGAATTGTATCATTCTAGAGTATCATTTCTTTGTTAAACGGTTGCGTAAATGAAGACACATGAATATGGATACAACTMAAACAAAGAATCKTATTCTCAAGACYACGTGTCATTCCCTAGAGTATCATTTCTTTGTTTAACGGTTGCGCATGAGAAGACACATGAATATGGATACAACTAAAACAAAGAATCTTATTCTCAAGTGAATGACACGTGGTCTGAAAAAGAGAAACGTTACGCTCATGCCGAAGTTAGAGTTTTATTTCATGAGCAAATACATCGCATTCATGACATCTTCCGAAAGCTCTGTCGCCAGCAACGTACACGCACCAATTGCAGCGTGTGTATTGGCCTTCAAATCCACTACGTCTTACAACATTGTCTTTTTTTCAGATTCCAGATATTGAGTTGTTTTCAAGGAAACTGTCTGAAATAGAATGCAGTAATGTGCAACTGTACCTGAAAACCTCATCAGGAAYAGGTATATATCTTATACTCCTCTCCATGAAATAACTGTTATAAATCTTGGGTGCTTTATGAGAGGACACAGCACGCGCGCGCACTTTCAGTTGCGTCGTTCCTATCTAAAATAACGGTTATTGTAATTTGTATTCTATAAAAGAAATAAAAACCTTGCTTGCTGTGCTGTGTGGAGTCATAAAGCACTTGTAGATTGACAGAACACTCGAGAAGTGTCCAGAAGCACTCCGCTACGTATCTTACTTCTCCTAACACTTCTCTCGTGTTCTACCAACCCCCGCGTGCTTTATAACTGCACACAGCACGCGCGCGCATGTCTGTATACTGTGACATAAACACGGTGGGAGCTGTAGTGTTGTTCTACAACAGCTCCCAGAGTTTATATCAGTATGTAGGCACAAATGCACGTCTTATGTTGCTTTTATAAAATAAAAAAAAACGTTGCAGGGTTTTTCAGGGAAAGCGTTTTTATTTTTCCTTGGCTTTCACAGTTATTTCTTTAATGATGAAAAGGTAAATTATACACCGTGAAAAGATGACGTTTCGGACGCTAGTCCTGCTCTTTTACTCCGACGAAGGACTAGCGTCCGAAACGTCAGTTAAGTTTTTTCATCTTTTCACGGTGTATAATTTACCTTTTCATCATTACTGTTTCATTAGAAACACCGACACAGCTCACACTAGTTTTTAGCTAGTTATATCTTTTCAGTTATTTCTTTGTTTATTTCAAGGACTCATATTCAATTTAAGATAAATCATTGTAATTCAGTGTTATTTTTCTTTGTTCAAACAGCTACGCCATTCTCGCAGGAAGATGCACCATTAAGAACGTTATGGGGTACGTATTTTGTATACTTGCTACGAGGCAAGCGGTGCACTTTTAGGCCCCGTCCACACTATATGCCCGATAAATTTGAATCCGAATTTTTATTTATTCGGTTCCATTTCGAAAAATCGTTTTCGGTGAAGAATTGTTCCGGATTCGCACGGACTAGTGTGGACGGTAGGCCTAACTGAATAAATAAAAATTCGGATTCAAATTTATCCGGCATAGTGTGGACGGGGCCTTAGTATCTTTGGTGTAATTCGTGCAGAATGGACAAGAAAAGATTTGCAACAACAACAACAACAGAGTATYTATACTCAAAATTAAATATATATAAAAATACATAAAAAACGTCCTTGTTTTTGCAAGGGTAGCACTTGACAGCCAGTGGTAAACAAACCTGTAGCACTTGCTTCATGATCGAATCATGATCAGCACGTCTGTGCAACGTTTCCCTTGTTCTAAAGCCCTTACGACCAACTATTAGTAATGCAGTTTTTTTAGAAATGACTTCGTTTTCCTTTTCGTTTAATACAGAAAAACATGGTGATAAATGGTCCCTTAAACATCGTGAAGGAGGTAAGTGACTGGTTGGTTGTTACCATGACGATATTTTTGTTACTATGACGATGGCAGATCCCAAAAAAAAAGACGTTTATGTTAATTTGTGTTTCAGAGAAATTTCTTCTTAAAAGTAAAGCAATTTTAAGGACTAGTAATGCAAAGAACATTGCAGAAAAGATTCAACAGAGCAAGGTAAAGAGAATATTGCATGTTTTATTACTCACTCTCATTCATGAAATAGTAATTCTTTTCTTAAATTTATTTTAAATTT